CTGACTCTGTAAACCGCTTAGAGAGGGCTGAAAGCCCTATGAAGCGGTATATAAGTCTAACTGCTATTGCTATTGCTATTGCTATTGCTACTCTACTCTACTCTACTCTCTTCTCTGCAAGAAAACAACCAAGCTCAGACAGCACCAAGGACCCCCCCCTTTCAACCTTGAGCTACAAATATTCTCCTTTGCGCTGATACTCAACTTTGTATCTCCATTCTGGGTGACAGCAGAGTTGCTATCATTGCCCTCTCACACAGCTGGGAGGCTTGGGAGTCTGGATGGGGGACAAAAGGCTGAACCCTGGCAAGACTGAGTGGCTATGGAAGTGCGGAACTTCAGGATCTGGGAGTCCTGGATGGGGTTGCACTGCCTCAAACAGACCCTGCACACAATCTGGCAGGTCTCCTAAACTCGATGAGTAAGTGGCAGTTGTGGCTAGGAGAGTTTTTGCACAACTTCATGTTGTGCACCAATTGCATCCTCTCCAGAGTAATGAGGCCCTGCCCTCAAGGCACTCATGCATGCCCTGGTCATCTCATGTTTGGACTACTGCAATGTGCTCTACATGGGGCTATCCCTGAAGATATTTGGAAGCTACAACTTGCATAGAATGCAGCAGTGTGGATAGTTCTTGGAGCCCCAAGGATGGCCCAAGTAACACCATTGTGGCATGAAATGCACTGGTTGCTGGTTTGTTTCCAGGTTCAATTCAAGTGTTGGTTATCACCTTTAAAGCCCCTTATGGCATAGGTCCAAGCTACCTGGGGAACCATCTCAGAAGGGGCATGCTGCAGACCCCATCAGTCAAGGAATTTCAGCAGCAGGGCCTAGGAAAAGAATCTTTTCTGGCCCTTTGAAATATAATGACCCTTAGATAGAGATATAAATAAGATGAAAACTGGTAGTATGTCTATGATGAGAATAATGATGTTTAATGTTGATACGATGTTATTACTGGAAGATATTAAGAAAAATGGAGAGTTCCATAACGTTTAAATGCTCAATATATTATAATACTAAACTTAGGGAAATAATGTTAATATGAATGTGAAAGATGTGGCAAAAGAGGAACGAGATACCCAGACACACTGCATAAGGAAAGATGGAATGTTTATTTTTGTAATTTAAAAAATAATAAAACTC